GAAATGTAAAATAATTCAATCCGAGTAGGCATCCTTCAGTCTCAAGAGACTATGGTAACATGCGCTGAATAGAGGTCTTGGAACAGCGTCTAGTGTGGCTGAGAAGACCAATTCGAGAGTGACAATCCCTTCCACACTGAAGACAACTCCAGTCTGTCCCCTGTCCAGCTCCCTGATTTTGCTACTTCCGTGACTGCCTCTTTGCCTTGGCCTACTGGACAAGGGTCTCTTCAAATTGCGAGAGGTGATGCTGCACTGCCTGCCTCCAGGCTGAATGCTCAGATGTCAAGGTTTCCCATCTGTTGAGGTCCATTCCTAAAGCCTTTAGATCCCACTTGCAGATATACTTGTATTGCAGTTGTGGTCTCTCTCTGGGGCGCTTTCCATGCCCTAATTCTCCATACAAGAGATCTTTTGTAATCTGACCGTCAGCCATTCTCATGACTTTCTCACGACAAAATAATTCAATATTCTGAGCAATATTTGAAAGGAAGAAAGACAGGCAAGGTCTAATTTAGTTTTAAATAGTTTCTTAAAAGGATATATCAGCAAATTGTGATCGCTGTTCTTTCTTATTTCTTTGCTTAATAGATTATGCAGAAAATTGACCGTCACTTAATCTTAATGTCATGCAACATTACTTTTCCGAGGGGGGAAAAAGACATTGCTGAACTTGAATTCATCATCTCTAGTTATTCTGGCCAATATTGAAGCATGATGGGGCTAGACGTCTGGAGGGCTGAACTTTCCCTAGTTCTAGTATATGGTTAGACATTCTTATTAAATCTTTTAATTACATAAAGAATACATAAAACAGGTGGAAAGAAACTTTTGTGGGGCATACTGTACAATCAGTATCTACCATAGCTACTGTTGAGGCACTTTGCTTCCCAGACATTTAATGATAGCCTTGCCCAAATGTTTCATGGAATCAGCATTATGTCGCAGGGGACAGAACTCAAGCAGAAATATTTAGACTACAGGTGATGACATTGTAGTAAACTGGAGTGCAAGATGCTATGAACTCTTCTGACATTGTGTTTTCTGTACTACATTCACCAGAAGTAGTTCTAGTTAGTTAATTCAGAAATATAGCATATTTAAAATAGTACACACAGCTTATAAAGTTATGTTGAAAGAAATACATTCGATTTCTTAAAGTTTAGTTTGGCAGAGCAGTCTTACAATCTAGCTAAGGTAGCTGGACCTTACTCTGTTATCTAATAAGCTTTTTATATTTCTCTGTCAGTAACATCAAAGGCATAATAATAGTTTGAGGAAAAAATAGCTTAAGATTGATGCCCTTTCCTTTAAAATACTAAGCAGCTATCACTACCCACTCGTCAAAACATTACATTTCATGATTCTTCTGTATTGGCAATGTATGGCAGGAACCATTAGACATGTAATAGCAGGAACATCCAGAGGAGCTTGCCAGGAACATTTTGTATACAATCTACAGGTATATGTACAGTGTGCTGCTGGGAAGCAGCCCCAACACAGAACTTTTCTGTCTTTCCAGAAAGAGAACAGTAATTAATACTTATGGGCATATAATTCTATGTTCCCATAGTTGGTGTCTCTATCCCCTGGCACAGGGGTCTCCAAACTACAGCCGACGGACCACGTCCGATGTGCCTTGCCTTTTTATTTGGCCGGGCAGGTGGGGTTGGGGTGTTCACAGAGGTGGGAGTGCGGGTGAGCACATGCGCACACATGTATTCCTTTGGTCCTCGAAAATGTGGAGCATATATGATGTGGCCCTCATGCTGAGAAGTTTGGAGACCTCTGATCTAGATAGATAAACTTAATCATGGTCAGTGACCAATATCCAAAATATGTGTACATAAAATGCACAATATCCAGAAAGCATATACCTATATAAATATGCCTAAAATCTTTCTATTGCTACAACTAAGACTGGCTAAAAAATTACTGAAACTTTTCCTTTTCAGATTTTGCACAAAATTTTGCTGCTTTGAACAGTATACTTATATCTGGCCCTGAGAGCATGCCTGTGTTTTGCCTTGACAGCACTAAAATAAGCCTCTCAGCATCCAGGAAATAGCTTTATCATCTTTGCCTTTTAGATAACTTTACTCATAATTTATATTATGATTGTTTGGCAGTGCTTATTTTGGAGTAGGGCTATGGAATTGAGGGTCCTTCAGGAGTTGTAGGATCTCATACTCTTTCCAGCCCAGATAGAATGGCAAGTGGTCAGGGACAGTGCTGAGCAACATGATCTATGCAGCTTCTTTCTGTGTTTAAAATGGGGGGGTTTGCTAATGAGTTTTAAAGTTCAGATCTTCAGGACTTCTAATTAAATTCTTTTCTTTACTGACCAGCATAGTTGCCTTGTTCTTGCATTCTCAGTTGCAAGAATGGAAGCAAGGCTCCAGACAGTGTTTAAATTTAACATCCATAGTTATCTGTTAAAGAGAGAAACCTGTCTTTATGTGCTGCTTTGTTGTCAACTTTAGTTAAATGTTTGTGCATAATTCCCCTGAACCGATTTCCCTCTTGTGTATTCTCATTTTTTCTGACATAAGGGCATCATGATGTGGCCCTTGTTTGTATTTTATGAGCTGTGTTTTCTTACTAAGATGTATACACTTATATTACTGTGTCATCATTAGCTTCAGTCAAGATCCTGTTCTTCACTGTAAGGGCAGAGGGCAAATAAAGCAAACTTCTGTGCGGGTGTATTGATCATTACATCTGTTCTGCTGACATAACTTCATACCAGCAGGACAGATAGTATCTGGATGCTGGATAGCACACTTGCCATCTAATATGGCCACCCTTCTGTTCCATCCCTATGACACTCCATCTCTTTGCCCATTTCTGCCTCTTCCACTTTGTACTTAAGAAAACAGCTTTAAAGTTGTAACAGTGTCATTTTACCTTTGTATCTTCAATCCATTGTGAGTTGCACCTGTATAGAGGATATAGATGCAGTCTCATCCTCGTGTGCTGATGTAACTCCAGCATAGAATTGTATGGTTTATCTCTTTATGTTCTCATGTTCAGCTCTAAATACTGCAACTAAGAGATTTGCAGTGTAAAAGGATGGTGACTTCAAAGTCTGATGATGTTGATGAGACCAGTGTTTTGCACACTGTAATCTTCCAGTTGCTTGCATCTTTGTTGCATATGATAAAGGCTTCTGAAATACAGATGTTTTTGTTATTAAAAATAAGGAATAAATGCTATAGATATAGTGACTCGAGCAAAACACACACACCTGATAATGCTTATAAAATCAACAGTATGTATTATACTCTGTATTCTGTAGATGCACAGAAAATATTTTTCAGAACAGATCTCTGTTTTTGTCATAGACAGGCTGCTTTAAGTTAGTATTGTCAATATACAGTTGTGCCTTGAGTTGCGAACTTAATTCGTTCTGGGATGATGGTCGTAACTCAAGTTGATTGTAACTCAAAGCACCATTTCCCATAGGAATACATTTAATCCGTTCCAGTCGGGGAAAAACCCATTCTGGGTAAATATGCTACAGCTAGACCCATCAGAGCACAGAAACATAACCCCCACCCACCCAGCCCAAACCCACACTGCAAAACCCTGTACAGTACTCACCTAGAACAGATAGTTTTTAAAATTTTAAAAAGCAGTACCAGGCAGTCCAAAGTCTCTCTCCTAACCCACACCGTCTAACTGCTGGGGTGAAGGAGCTACAGAGAAGCAGCCTCTTCGCTGACCAACAGTTAACTGAAGGACAAAAGGAGGGAAAGTAGTTCAAATTCCCCACCTTTTTTCTGGTCATATCTCAAAGCACCAGTCACAAGTCAAAGCAAAATTTTGCCACCAGAGCTGGTGGTAACTTGAATTGGCCGCAAGTCAAGATGTTCATAAGTCGAGGTACCACTGTGTTCAGTAGTGGGCAGGAGGGGAAACTCTCTGTACAGAAACATATTTGCATGGTTACGCAAGCTTGTTTGCAGAAAGATACCTGTATGGTTACAGCAAACGTGGTTATGTAAGGTTTTTTTACACCTTGCATAATTCTCTTGTTTTAGGGTTGTTCACCAGAAGGTAGGAAAAAAGCATTGGCTTTGTTTACAAGTTTGACTATTCAAACAAAAAGGTTGGTTAGAATCTAATTTCTGGCATACTGTCGGTTTGATTTCCCACAATTCCTCCTGAGAAAAGAGCCAGCTTGCTTGGCCTTGGGTAAGTTGCATGATCCTGTAGTTTCACTAACCCTGGAAAGAGTTGCCCTAAGTGGGAGTTGATGGCACATAGGTACTAACATGGTTTGCAGGCGCCTTATAACATACAGTTGGAGTCCCATTCTCCCTTTCACCTCTGCATAGTCTGTGCGACTGCTTGATAGTTCAGTGGCTTAGGTCTCTGGCTGCAGAGCCAGAGGTTGGCAGCTCGATTCCCCACTGTGCCTCTTTGAGAGGGGCTGGATTCAGTGATCCATAGGGTCCCTTCAAGCTCTGCAGTTCTGGGTGTATTATGACTAGCAAAGGCACGTGTGGGCAAATAGACTTAGTTGCAAGGGTGAATTTGTTGTTTCACCTTTGGTTAAAATTGGTTGTATTCTTCATGTGGTAGAAATAACTGAAATGGTATTTTATATGCTACCATTTGTCAGGGTGTAGTTCTTTTCTTTTGCTTACAGTTTAAGGCATTTCTAGTTAATGTATAGGTCAGCAACATAGTATGTTCCAGATGTTTTGGCTACAGTTCCCACAGTCCTAGGCCTTTGGCTGTGGTGTGTGTGGCTGGTAGGAATTGCAGACCAAAATATCTGGAGGATAACAGGTTTTCTGCCCCTGATGTATATTGCGTATGTTCTGGACAGAGGTGTTAGTCTATTGTTTTCTATGCAACACAAAGTATTCTATTCCTGGTTAATAAATGTGCTTTAGTAGTAGTTTTTGAAGTGCCGTATTGTCAGTGTCATTGTTAACAAACTCCCTGTTGTAGAGGTACTCAGAACTTTATTTCTGTTTTTCTCATTGCAGGTCTTTAATGCTCTGTGTTTACTGAAAACTTGATTCTCTTGCCAAAGTCACATGAGGAAAATAAGTTATTTGCAATCTAGTTGTTCTTAAACATAGTGGTACCTCCATGCAGTGCCTGAAGGTAAGTGTTATATCCTAGAAAGCAAAGGTTTCCAGGTAACACTCTTTGATATAGCAAAGCAAAGCAAAAAAGCAAAGCACTCTCTGTGCGGTTTACAAGTTAATTATGCAGGCTACACTTTGCCCCCCCCAGCAACCTGGGTACTCATTTTACCGACCTCAGAAGGATAGAAAGCTGAGTCAACTTTGAGACAGCTACCTGGGATTGAACCCCAGGTCGTGAGCACAGTTTTGGCTGCAGTACAGCAGTTTAACCACTGCGCCACAAGGCTCATATACATACTGCAGTAGCTTTTAAAATAGAATGTACTGTTGCATTTATTTATTTATTTGCTTGCTTGCTTCTTTGTTTATTTGTCTGTCTGCCTGTCTGTTTATACTTTGATTTATATACTACCCCATTAGTGCTGAAGCACTATTCTACGTGGTTTGCAAGAAATTAAAACAAACAGCATAATAAAAAATAAATGCAACATAAATAACAAAAAACATCATCCAAAAACCAATCTTCGGAATGAAGCAAGACTGGAGGTGAGGTATTTAGTTGCGGTCAATGTGAAAGGCCTCCCTGTGAAGTATTGCCTTCTAAATGAGTACAGAGAGGGGGGCAGGTGTAGCTCCTCTGGAAGTTGATTGCATAATGTTCCTGCCGCCACGAAAGCCCTACCTATTGTAGATTACTTTTAGGCCTCTCTTGGGGTGGCTACGTGGAGGAGCTTGATCTGAGATGATCTGGTGGGTGGGGCAGATAACATTGGGGAAAGTCACTCTAACAGGTAACGTGGTTCCAAACCATGAGGGGGGGTTTATACATGTCTCAAAATCTTGAACCTGATCTGGGACACAACAGGTAAGTAGTTGAGGCTGGCCTGTACTGGGGTGATATGATCAAATTTGCTCACACCAGCCACCAATGTGGCCGCCACATTCTGGATCAGCTATAGTTCTGGACATCATCACAGAGATGTTTCTGGGCATAGAGAAAATGAAGCTAGAGAAACCAATACACCAGGATTTCACTTGTTTTCTCCTGAAGCTTTGGAGGGATACTATTCTTAGCCTCAGACCCCACTAGGTTGGCAAACTTACTTTCCAGTGGCCCGGAGTAGCCTTCATTGTTCTGCTTACCTAGAGAGTCTTCTTGGTGGAGCTTCCTCCTCCTTATTGCAGGAAAGAACCACTTTTATTTGTGTCTCTTCACTTAATCCCCCACTCCTTCCCTCATGAGCTTGTGATTGTTGCCATCTCTCCTAGGCAGCAGCTGCTGATGCTGTTGTTCTTGGCTGCAGATGGACATGTATGCTCTTCTGCCAGCTCTTCTGGATACTCTTTCCCCTTTTCTTCAACAGTCAGGGCAGAAGCCAGTTGACTATGACATAATATAAATTTATTACTGTTGATTAGAGCTACCATATATGTAAAAGGACTAATTCATACATGTCCATCGGGGCTTTTTCATTCTAGTGTAAAAGGTATCGATTGTGTCTTAAATGTTAATACTGTGACCTTAACTTTTGTTTTATCTGACTTAATTTTTGGTTTTCTTTGCAGTTTCAAAACAATAATCACAACATCAAAGGTATAAACTTCCAGAATTTAAAGAAGTCAGCATGAAGTTATATGTGTTTTTGGTGAACACTGGAACCACCCTTACCTTTGATACAGAACTTGCAGTACAGAAGTAAGAACATCTCTTCTTCTAAAGGAAATTTTGCTGGACTGATCATATCAAAATTGTTTATTTCCAAATTTTGGTATAGATTGAGTGATATCCTGTTGCATGATAATGCAAATGGTGTAACTTTTGGTAGTGAATTGGCAAAGTTTAAGACATTTCTGTAGACATTGTGGCATAGTGAATTGAATAACTCAGTGTGGAACAGGTAAGGTCTATGGAGGTTTCTTAACTAATAGCAGTCTCTCCTAGTTATGCTATTTGTGTAATTTTGCAGCAGAATTTCAGCCATTATGTTTGGGAATAAGTGTCAAAGCAATACTATTGTTGGAGTACACCTAACAATAGGCTAGTTTTATACATTTTCTTTACTGCTTAAGAAATATTTAAAACTATTGTGAAAGTAGTATGCTGTTACGTAGATTGCTTATTTTAAAACTTGCTGAAGTTCGTTACTTTCATAGATGCATGGAGTTGGAAGAGACCACTGAGGCCATCTAGTCCAACTCCCCCCCCCCGCCATGCAGGAACATCCATCAAAGTACTCCCAACAGATGGCCATCCAGCCTCTGCTTAAAATCCTCCAAAAAACGAGACTCCTCCACCCTTCGAGGCAGCCTATTCCACTGCTGGAGAGCTCTGACCATCAGGAAGTTCTTCCTAATGTTCAGATGAAATCTCTTTTCCTGTACAGTGGTGCCCTGCTTGGCAACAATAATGCATCCCAGCAAAATCGCTGTACAGCAGAATCATTGTCAAATGAAAGAAGAAAAAAAAGCTCATTGGAATGCATTGAAAACTGGTCAATGTGTTCCACTGGGGGAAATACCTGATCGTCCTGTGAAGATTCTCCATAGGGTGGCCATTTTCCAATGCCTGTATAGCGAAAATAGGTCGGCAAAACAGTGGGGAGCCATTTTGTGAGCCGCTGATCAGCTGTTTTTAAATTGTCATTAAGCAAAAAATCAATTCCTAAAGCAGGGAACTGATTGTCGTGAAGTGAAAAAAACACATTGAATCATCATTCTGTGATCGCTATAGCGATCGCAAAAAACTCATCGTTAAGTGATTTCGTCGTCAAGCGGGGTCATAGTCAGGCGGGGCACCACTGTAGTTTGAAACCATTGATCCATGTCCTAGTCTCTGGAGCCCTGGAAAACAAAATTGTCCCCTCTTCAGCATGACATCCTTTCAAATATTTAAACATGGCTATTATGTCCCCTCTCAAACTTTTTGTCAAGTTGAACATTCCCATTAGAAAGCATGGCTAATGATAAGGCCAGTGGAGATGAAGGCACTCCAGTGGAACTATTTAAAATTTTAGAAGATGACGCTGTTAAGGTGCTACTTAATATGCCAGCAAGTATGGAAAATTCAGCAGTGGCCAGAGGATTGGAAAATATTAGTTTACATCCTAATCTCAAAGAAGGGCAATGCCAAAGAATGTGACAACAACCGTAAAATTGCATCGTTTCAAACGCTAGCAAGGTTACGCTAAAAATCCTACAAGGTAGTCTTCAGCAGTATGTGGACCGAGAACTCCCAGAAGTACAAGCTGGATTTCAAAAGGGCAGAGGAACTAGAGACCAAATTGTTAACCTGCACTGGTCTATGGAGAAAGCCAGAGAATTCCAGAAAAACATCTACTTCTGCTTCATTTGCTATGCAAAAGCCTTTGACTGTGTCGACCACAGCAAACTATGACAACTCCTTAAGGACATGGGAGTGCCTGACCACCTTACCTATTTCCTGAGAAATCTATATGTGGGACAGGAGGCAACAGTTAGAAATGGATATGGAACAACTGATTGGTTCAAAATTGGGAAAGGA